TAAGTTTCATACTTTCGCATTTTGCTTAAGTTGCCAGGGATTTACGTATTTATTGGACAAACTAATTAGAGGTTTTTAATGGTGTAAAAGTCCAATTCAAGCGAAAACTTAAAATTTCAGCAAAAGTGATATACTTAGAAATTAAAAACGTCATTAATTGTCATAATTTTCTCATTTTGCTGACTATGACATTTTGATAAATTTTAGCGTGTGTGTCAAACTGTTGCTGCTTGCGTACAGTACGCATAATGCAGTACTTACTGAATTTTTTCGAAAACAAGCAACTTCTGCAGTAAGTAATGTATTTGAACGTAATAATCGGTTTATTAATGTTTCAATAGCCTAATACAAACTGTAATTTACATCTTAAACAAACAGGAGATACTAGGGAATTAAGGGTGTAATTAATTGGAATAATTTTCGTATTTTGATGACGTTGACAGGTATCTTTGGTGCTAAACTGCCTGTTGCATGCATACGGTACGTATTTAACATGCAGTTTCGCATGTTTTTTTTTTCCTATAATATTTCATCATCAAAAAAAGGGATTTTTAACAACAAAAGGCTTCATATTACGCATAAGAATATTCTGAGCAAGTTAAATGTAAGTAGTCTGCAGAATGTGTTTAAAAAAAAAAGAATATTTCCACTTTATGAATTGTGTCTGGACATGTTAAGTGGGTGCTGATGTCCTAACAGACCCACTCAGTCGGAAATTGACATCTTTAGCAAACAGAAGTGATTAGGGAAGTAAAAACAAAATTAAGTTTCACTACTTTAGCATTTTGCTTAAATTGCCAGGGATTTACGTATTTATTGGACAAACTAATTAGAGGTTTTTAATGGTGTAATGGACCAATTCAAGCGAAAATTTAAAATTTCAGCAAGAGTGGCATACTTGGAAACTAAAAACGTCATTAATTGTCATAATTTTCGCATTTTGCTGACACTGTCAGGTAAATAAGTTTGTGCCAAAATGCCTGTTGCATGCATACGGTACGTATTTAACAGGCAGTTTCGCATGATTTGTATTTTTCCACAAAACTGTAAATCTAAAAAAAGCGGTTTTCTCTACTTTTACGTTTTCTCTACCTTCCGTGACACCTACAGTACGAAGGTGTCCCGTTTCTGTCTGTCTGGCCGTCTGTCTGTACATCTGTCTGCGGTCCCGGATTTTTATGAATTATGATACAGATAATCTACGAGCCACCGATTGTTGTCAAATTTTGTATTTATATTAGGAATATCTTGTAGGTAATATCAATTCCCGCTTGAATTGGGCTATTGGAACATCGAAAACCATTAGCACACCCAGATACAATCTATCCCATAGAAATTCCTAGTTTTTTAAGCAAATACAGTATAATCAGCGTGCTTAGAATATTCTTATGAGTAACATAGAGTGTTTTGTTCTTAAAAATCACTTCCTTTTTGATTTAAAATTTTGGGGGAAAATAAATGTCATGCGAAACTCCCTGTTAAATGCGTACCGAACGCATACAACAGGTAGTTTGGCACACACTTTAGTCCCGGTCACTGTTAGCAAAATGCGAAATAAAGACAACAAATAATGCCTTTACTTCCCTAGTATTTTCTATTTGTTAAAGGTTTCAATTTCCGCTTGACTTGGGCTATTGGAACAACTAAAACCACTTTGAATTTCCAGATACAAACAATTGTGTCGAAATGTTTTATTTTTTAAAAAAGTAATTCTAAGGGTGACGTACTTAGAATATTCTTATACGTAACACAAATCCTTTTATTTTTTGGATTTACAATTTTGTTGAAACTTACCGCAAACTTTATTAATTATAACATTTTAAATATAAATGCCAAAGTGCCTTTTAAATATAATTAAATTTTGTTTGGCCATCTATCGTCGAGGGGCTGAACTATGCCGTATTTTCCTTATGTGCGAAACTGACTAGTTTATGAGTTTGGTCTGCTACAGTGTTGCCATAGTGTGCCGACCGTGCCAAAGTTCCGGGATTACATACATATATATATATATCTAACTTTCTGTTTATATTTAAATCACGCATGCATTTTATGCCGACGATGGCAGGATGTATGAAAACTCACTGGTTTATTATCAAACTATCCAAGGCGACCTTGTAGAAGCATATAAATGGACTCGTAATTGGCTAATACCGCTGAATAAAGATAAATGCTGTGTTCTCCGTTCTGCCAATATTCGTTATGTTCTATAATCATACGCTGCATTCGGTTAACTAGATGATCTAGGAGTTATGCTCGACAACGAATTCTCTTCTTCTGAGCAGATAACTCAAAAAGCCAACGTAAGCTCCTTCCTATTACAAAAGTCATTTGCCAAACTCGACGAAGAATCGTTCAAAACTCTATTTGTTTCATATGTCCACCCAATAGTTGAATATGCCAGTGTAATTTAGTCTCCTAACCTAATAAAGGACAAACAACGGATTATCAAAAAAAGTAGAAAGCTTGAAAAATAAATCTTATAAAGACAGACTCCTTGCCTTACACCTTCCTACTTTAGAAAAACGTCGTATTTTTCATGATCTTGTACGTGCCTACAACATCATCACCCGTCAGTACGGCATTGACCTGTCTAAGATTTTTATTTCATCAGATACTTCCCGTTTACGTGGCCAAGCATTAAAACTCTGCCATGAGAAATACAAAACCAGATGGCGACAGTATTTTTTAACAAATGAGGTATTTACCTTTTGGAACAGCCTAGATTCCGGTATCTTTAATTCAAAAACCACGACTACATTTAAACATAAGTTAGGCAGACATTTATTCCATGCAATTAAAAAAAAAATGTTTTACTGCTAGTCTTTAATAAGACTAGCAGTAAAATCTAGCTGCTGAATTTGTTGTCCTACTGGCGAGCATAATTTGCCTCTGCTCCAAATCAATAATAATATTAATAATAATTTAGATGCGGAAACGAAGAGAGAGAAAATACATTTTGGATGAAGAAGAAAGAGAGTGTATGCATAATGTGTCAAAAAGAGCAAGAAACAATAAAATATATGATGAAAGAAAGAGAGGAAAGCAGAGAGTTTAGGTTCAATTAATATTGTATGGTTGGAAATTAACACTTATGTTTTATATCTATTGTATATTGTTATTTTATGAATAATATTTAATAATATTTATAATATTTAAGGTGTAATAAGAGCTGGATCACATTCAAAGCCCAAGGGGTGCAAATAAAACTTGATCTATTTGTGTAGTTTTTATAAATACATATATTGAATAAATCAGTATTCACCTTTATTGGCTTTCTACTCATTCCGCAATTCTACCCCAGAATTGTACAATGCTTATAAAGTTGTATTCAGAACTTTAAAAATCTATATCTATGTTTGGAAAGTGGCCACTTACTTTTCTAAACCTATATTCTGTTCGAAAAAACAGAACTGAACAGAATTCTTAGTTTCAAAAACTGCATCGTCATTTTGATATTAATACATCCAAATCTCGGGCTCATTATTATCATGTTAATATTGTTTCGCTATGGAAAATGAATTCACTTAGACAAATTGCAGGGAAAGTTCTAAAGAATAAATGAAAAATAGAACTTTCTATTTTAAATTTTAATGTCATTAAGCTCCTTTGTCAAGGTGCGCACTAGCACTAACTTTACTCAAAGTTTCATAGATTAATATTCAAAAGATCAAGTTAAAAACTGAATTGTACAATGCTTATAAAGTTGTATTCAGAACTTTAAAAATCTATATCTATGTTTGGAAAGTGGCCACTTACTTTTCTAAACCTATATTCTGTTCGAAAAAACAGAACTGAACAGAATTCTTAGTTTCAAAAACTGCATCGTCATTTTGATATTAATACATCCAAATCTCGGGCTCATTATTATCATGTTAATATTGTTTCGCTATGGAAAATGAATTCACTTAGACAAATTGCAGGGAAAGTTCTAAAGAATAAATGAAAAATAGAACTTTCTATTTTAAATTTTAATGTCATTAAGCTCCTTTGTCAAGGTGCGCACTAGCACTAACTTTACTCAAAGTTTTATAGATTAATATTCAAAAGATCAAGTTAAAAACTGAATTCATTTCACTATGTAGCTGCAAATCATTATAACTTGATAAACATTGTTTATTATTCACGCATGTATCAACCCAGTAAACACAGTTACGTTGTAGCGATGTTAATGCCACTTAACTCTGTCTACGATCTTGTTAGCTGTTACATCCCAAACTGCGTACATTTGCTTTCCCTGTGCTATGTAATGTAATCAACAGTGACCCATGCTTGTAACATACTGGTAACATCCACATCGTTTCAGACTAGAGACGTGCTCGCGATACATCATCATAACGTTGTGTTAGTATGTCGCTAGATTCTCTATATTTTTATGTATGTGTTACGTTTTATTTTAAACGCCAATATAACGTATTAAATGGACATAGACGTTACGTATATATCGCAACATCGTAAACATATGACTCTCAGTATATTTTATTAACATGATCTATGCGATATGAATAGGCATTTCAGAAAGTCTAGTTACCATTTAGGGATATGGATATGGAGAGTAAAATTTAGAGCTTACAGTAAATTATTATTTTATTCAATGTTTGAAAAAATATAATATGTAATAAGTAATAAAATACAAAAATTAATATAAATTCATAATATAAATAAATATATATATATATATGATTTCCTAATTCGAAAATAATACAATATAATTTACACTTAAAAAAAGGCACAGAAACTATAAACTGTCGTGGTTTTTTCTTTCTTCAGGCGTTGACTAGAATGTCGTAGCCACTCTGAGCAGCGTTGTTCTACTTCTTTTTTTATTGCGGAATGGGTCTTCATTGTAATTTCTTCAAAAATAAAAATTGTAATAATTATATTTATTGCAAAAAAAATACCTTTCATAATATTCATTGTTTTTGTCCCAACCATTTTGGAATTTTCCTACCGAACAAACAAGCTACAGCAAATTCGCTGAATTTTTTTTTTTCTTTAATATACGCTCCACATTGTTCTTTTTCCCATTACCACCTATCTGGGACAATAGCAGTTCCTGAAATAAGAAAAGAAGAAAATATTTTTATGTGTATATATCGAGTAACTCTGAAATAAGTTCGGAAAATAAAACCACAAGATCACGAAGTAGAGAAAATTTTAAGTAATTTCTTTTATCTAGTCCTAATTCAGGGGAAAAATATCAAGATCCACACCTCATTCAGTGTCATTTGTTTTCATCTAAGCAACACACAGCAAAAATAAAGAAAAAATTTAGTCACAATGGAAACTGAATAAATCATTGCCGCATCATTTACATTTAACAAGTTGTTCCGTATTTGTTTCTTGAAACTGGAGCAGCAGTTTAATTACTTTGAATCCGTGTGACAATTAAAGGATTTTTTTTCCGAATCTATTTGGAAGTCACGCGTATGTATAACATACAGGGTGCTTCACTATAAGACTTTTCTGCAACCCACTATGTATGTAACGTGTTAAGCGAAATGTGTCATGTTTAGTAGGTTCCTAAAAAGTGTTATAGTATTACAGGCATCTACCTGTATATAATATCCAAAATTATGTTATATGTAAGTACATATAAATATATTTAGTCCAGTCATTTTAGCATAAAAAAGGGATCAACCTGTGAATGAGAGACAATAAGCTGAATTTTTGTATACGCCTTAATTTTGGCGTTCTAAAAGTTGTCTCAAAAGTCTAATTAAATCTCGTGTCTGCGTCGTAAGTTATTCAAGGTCAAAGGTCAAGATAAACAGTTTTTTGCAATTATCTCAGTTTCTATTGCTCCAATGATGTTAACAATTATTATCATAATTGTAGAGCACAAAATTTGGGACAAATTTTATTTGAAATATTTTTTCATGCGCTCAATCGTTTTGGAGATAGAGGAGAGTGAGCGCGCAGCGCTCGTCCATACGTACTGTAATGCAATCAACCGTGAATATCTGTCAATACTACCTTGAATTTTGAATAATTTGTATTATTAATCAATTAATACATTGTATTTAATAACATTTTACATATTTTCAATATATTCATAGAATAATACTTAACTATTTTGTGTAATTAAAAACTCATTTAATGAAATATTTATTGTATATCTCAATTTATTTGTATCTTTAAAATGTGCAAGTTTTTAAATACTTATTTTCTTATCATGATTATAACGGGAAGGTCTGGAAACAACAATTCAGGGCACCGAAGATGACGACGATGAAACAGAAATTCCCGAACGTCCAGAAGATGACGGTGAAGAAGAAGAAAATTGATACTTTTGTTCTTTAAATTATTAAAAATATATAGATTTTCACTGCAAGATGAATCGTAAGAAATGTCTAGCTGCTGAATAAAGATAAAATTAAAATATATGAACTCGTTTTACTTCCATAAAATTTACTTTGAAAAAATTAATATAACTTTAAGATATATAATAATCTAACCTAAGATATACCTAGAATAAATATGTCATTTAAAGAGTTTTTAATTACACAAAGTAGGTAAGTATCATTAAATAAATGTATTGCAAATATGCAAAATGTTATTAAATGCAATGTATTAACTGATAAATAATACTAATTTTTCAAAATTCAAGGTAGTATTCACAGATATTTTCACGGTTGATTGCATTACAGTATGTATGGATGAACGCTGCGCGCCCACTGCCCGCTATCTCAAAAACGATTAAGTGTATCAAAAAATGTTTCAAATAAAATTTGTCCCAAATTTGTGCTCTACAATTATGATAATAGGTGTTAACATCATTAGAGCAATAGAAACCGAGATAATTGCAAAATAATGTTTTTCTTGACCTTTGACCTTGAATAACTTACGACGCAGACACGAGATTTTATGAGACTTTTGAGACAACTTTTAGAACGCTAAAATGAAGGTATATACGAAAATTCAGCTTATTATCTCTCATTGCGAGGTTGATCGCTAATTTGACTGGACTAATTGTATTTTTTTAACTTACAAAGAAACCTGCTTGTTGTAGTAGGCAGAGATAATCTTCTAATTCCTCAAAATTTGTTTACCTGTGGTCTTGGCGGCATATCTTCTATTACTGTTTTCTTTTTGATTTGTCACATTTGATGACGTTTTCATATTGGAGATTTGTTCACTCGTTTCCTTTAGAATTTCTTTTGTTTCGCACATATTTTTTGTATTTGTTTCAAGTCTAGAGTAAAATTATGTTCATTAGCACCTAGTTCATAAAAAATTGCAGTAACATACCTTTGCAACATGTTGTGGCAAAGCGCCTCACTTTCAAAAACAATCACCGTAAGTTCTTCAAAATCAGCGGGAGTATCTTCAGTGATTAATGGTGGTATTTCCAGCTTGTCTGAAAAAACTGTTGTTGTTATTTACGTACAGTTATCAAAAACAACAGAAGCATGTAAAAATTAAAATGATTACTTCATTAGAATTATATTAACTTACCTAGTGTAAATTTAATCCACACTGAATGGCACAATTTTCACAAAACTGCATTAAAAATGAAGTGATTTACGGATTCACGAGAAAGGTTCGGTGGTTGTGAACCAAATGGCCAAATGGAATTCGACAGCTTCACTGTGAGTCTGAAGTGCAATAACCATAAATACGGAAAAAAGGGATCGTCCGACTCATCGACAAACCAAACCAACAAAGGTCCGACTGCACCCCCCAAACATCTGGTGGATAGTAAATGCAGAAGTTGAGCGTTATTTTTTCACTAGATAAAATAAATTTAATAAAATCAAAATTAACCACTCTCTAGTTTTTTTGCTACCCATCATCGCTTTATAAACGTCGTTATAAAATCAAAATTCGACGAATGAACTCTTCAAAACCTTGTCCCGTTTCAGGGACAATGGGCAAAGAATTTTTATGGCTTTGTTTGTGTCGTTGGGTCTTCCCTATATTAACCCCAGATGTTTAAGGTGACCAGACGTTCCGATTTGATCGGAACCAGGCGCGGATCCAGGGGGGGGGCAATGGGTGCAATTGCCCCCCCCTGACACACGACCGAGGTACTTTATTTTGACCAATTTCAAAATTTTGAAATCATATTTCATTTTGTAAATACAGTGTACAACCTCTATAATCCGAACTCACGATTGTCTCAACATCTAGTATAATCCGAACAGAGGCTATTTGAAGTCGATGCCTCTTTAATCCGAACAAAAACTCTGCAATCCGAACCGAACTTGAAAACATGCATCTACTTCCAAAAATGACGCAAGATCTTTCTACATATGTTGTATGGAATATTTTGAAATTTTTAAAAATTGCGATATTTCAAAGCACTGAATTAATTAATTAATTCTGGAAAAATGGATGAAGTTATCGGAGACCCGAAATCTACAAGAGAAAGTATTTGGTTAAATTTCGAAAATCGTCGAACATAAGTCGAAATTTGCATGAGAAAAATTTCATTTTAGAAAAAATTTCCTAAAAATTCTGAAAAAATTCAGGGATATATATCCCGACGTGCTGATTCCAAAAATATACCATGTTTATGGTAACGGACCAATATTTTCGGAAAATTCGCTGTGAAATTCGAATTTTTCGGAATTTTTAAAAATTGCGATATTTCAACTGGACGATTCTGGAAAAATGGTTTAAGTTATCGAAGAAATGAAGCCAGAAGTGACTTCTGAGGTCCAAAATCTACAAGAAAATATATTTAGTTAAATTTCGAAAATCGTCGAGAATGGGTCGAAATTTGCATAATGGAGGTAATACGAATACATAATGGAAAATTTCATTTTTGAAAAATTCATCTAAAAATTCTGAAAAATTTAAGGGTATAGATCCCGGGATGTTTATTCCAAAAAGATAGCGTGTTTATGGTCACGGAGTAATATTCTTTTAAAATGTATCTATTATCCATTGTTGTTTAAGAATTCTTTAATTTTTGTTTAATAAAATTTAGGTTTATTTCTTGAAGTTGGTTTTCAGTTGTGTATGAAGTTGTCATTCAATTCCCTTTCAGATTTTTGGGAAAATTGCTGATCCGAACAAATCGTTAATCCGAACAGACCTTTTTCCCAATTAATTAGGATTATCGAGGTTCTACTGTACACTATACGTGCAATGAAAAGAACCAAATGTCACCCATGTTATGTGAAAAAGAGTATACTAGCTAAAATTAAAAAAAAAAAATTGTTTATAATGAATTTCTGGTAGATAGGTAGGTAAAATCGCACAAAAATTGCCCCCCCCTGAACGAAATCCTGTATCCGCTCCTGATCGGAACTGTACCGATTTCAATACTCTAATAATTCCGATTTCAAATTTCGTCCAATAAATGTTCCGATTAAAACATTCGTTCCGTGAATGTTCCGATTTCTATAAATCTGATAAGAATAAAGATAAATCCTCGGATAAATCACTAATTTTCATGAATAGTAATTTTATTTTGTGAAAAATTGGGAACAAAACTTGTATCGATACGGTTGTCAGCACTGTTTTAAATGTCAGCAGATGTCAGTACTGTTAGTATATTACAACTAAAAATTTTCAAAGCAGTTATATATCAGATTACGATGGAAATGGAAACTAATGTTCCGGTTTCGGACTTTTGAAATCTGGTCACCTTACAGATGTTCTATTTATAATTTGCCAAGCAGGTACTTACAAAATAACATTTCAAGTGAACAAGTTTACAGAAATAATTCTTAGAAATTATTACAATGAAAAAACTTGTCTTTGGTGTATTTCTAATAAAGCCGTTGTATTTTTCGCTCTGAATATAATTATTAACTAAGCATTACGAACTCACTGACGAAGGTCACTTTTTAAAGAATACGACGACCCACATCTAATTGACCATACAATCTTTAACAATAAATTTCAAATAATACCATAGTGGTTTTTTTAAATTTTGATAAGGTGTTGTAAAACTATTTCTGTTTCTGTCTTCATTCCAGGTGCTGTATTTACTTGGGCAAAAGATGCCGTACGTGGGATTTTAGGGGCGGAAACGTATACCTGCTTAAATACTGTAAATACAGTGGTGTCGAACGAAGACAACAACAGAAACATACCCGATGTATTGGGCAGGGCCTAAATTAATGTGCACTTCTACACATTTTGTGCAGTTCAAAAATGCATTTGTGCAGCTGGAAATTGCAGTTTGTGCAGTAACTTTTTCACATTATTAATATTTTTACTTCCCGAGCGTAAGTTACTATTACTGACGCCGGTTCATCCCTTCACCGAAAAGAATCGAGGAATTTTTATGATTTTATTTGTCAAGTTGGAACCTCAAGAAACCCCAGATGTGCTATTTTCGCTCTGTCACGTACCTGCTTAACAATAACACTTGTCTCAGTGATTTCGAAAAATTGCACAACAAAAATTTTATCAGTCGTACTTGCGGAGTCGTACTGCCTTCACAGCTCTTATCACTTTGGTTTTTCCTTGCATTGGTAATCCGCTGTTTCTAATTTTCTTTTGTGCTATGACAAGTATTATTTACATTATTATTGGCGTCATCACAAATTTTTTATTGATCCAATTAAGAACGTGTCACCCCATTTTCTTAAAAATATGAGAATACGCAAGTCTTTATTTAAAAATGACAAAATAAGAATTATAATAATGAAATTCAGAACATTTTGTTCGATTGTGGCTTAATTAATTATTTTAGTCTTCTGTTTTGGGAAGACAACACACAAACTTTTGTGATGTACCTTTAAATAGTGATATATGTATGTATTAATCGTGTCGGTATTATGCCTTTTTTAGATTTTTGTTTATATCTTTACAATATATTTATTTTGAATTTGCGTTTTGCTATTATTTATTTATTATTAATGTTGTAGGTATTCTCACAAAATCGACAAAATCATAATGCACTTTAATGGGGGGGGAGGGGGGAGAGGTGTAAAAGTACTATTAAGAACACAAGGGGGATTATTGCGATTGTGCAGTTGGAAATTTTCCTTAATTTAGGCGCAGGTATTGGTTATTATTAGAGAGCGGATTTTATGAAATTTGCATATCCGTTATTTTTTGCATATAAGTCTTGATATTTAATATGTGAACGAATCATGCTAATTAAAAATGAATGCAGCTATAAAAAATTGCATATTTGCATATATTTGCCTTCTGCTGCATATTTCACATACCGGGTGCATATTTTGCATTTTTATCAATTTTTGTGCTACTTTGAAAAAAAAATGCCATTCGATCGGCATTTTTCTAGAAAAACGAAACTTCATGAATCATATTGCAAATATTGTCCTGAGCTTCAAATAACTGGGTTTGGGTTTTATGGTAGTTTGGAGGAACCACTGGGTGTTAAGCCATCCTTCCAGGTAAATTCGGGTCCTAATTACTTTTGGAAATACCGTTCATTTCAATATTTTTGTTCGTTACTTAAGTGTATTAATGGTATGTTTTATGGTGGTCGAAGGGACGTTATCCTATTATTTTTCATCGTGAGTTTGCATTTAAGTATTTAAAGCGATAGAGATGTGTGTCAATATGTAGATAACTCAAATTAATTTTCCCCTCCTCACATGTAAACAAAACATTCGCACACGTTTGACATGCCGCGTAACAGTGACTTTACACACCAAATATCAATTTACCGTCGCTTTACCGCCTTTGGGCGCCAAAGTAACTCAACATGCATTAGCCTCTAGAAGCTCTACTAAAAAAAGTTCTGTATAAATAATAAAAGAAAACATACTAGAACACTACTTTACATAATGTTTTGTTCAATCAAAACTTTTGAATTAGAAAAAATAAATAATTTAAAAAAAATCACGTGGCGCCATCTCGTGGTTGTCGGTATTATAGATTCCTTCAGTAAACGTCAAGTCCCGAAAATGTCACTTCATTTCTTGCCATTTCGGAAAATATTTTTAAAATGAAATATTTTTTTAAATAAACTCAATGTCGGGGAAAAAATTGAATACAATTTTCGTACGTTAGGCATTTTGCAGGTTTCGGTCCCATGCCACCCTCCGCTTCGCGTCGGGTGGCAAATTACGACCTCAACCTGCAAAATGTTACCTACCGCACTCATAATGTAAATAACTATTATGAATTAAACCTTTTCCTGAACTTATTCTTCAAGAAGGAATTGTGTTTTGTTGTGCCTGCTCTAATCCGATAAGTATTTTTACATCTGTGGACGCAGTACGCAGTTTTTTTATTTACAAATACATACTTTAGAATCACCGGAAAAATTTTTGTTAGAATATTTCGAAAAATATTTAAAAATAAATTGTTACCAAAATAGTAATTAAATAGTCGATTACTACTATTTTTTAATTCGTTCTGTTTACCTATATTTATTTTTGAGTATAAGAATATTATCTTAAAAATGTCATTTATTTGTCAGTGAGATCTAATTAAACACTTTGCAATGTGATTTATGTATTTTTTGTAATAAAAGTTAAGGTGTTTTTGCAATTTGTAAATAAATTTAGTTCGGTTATTACGCTTTTTTTTAATTTTTTGAGCATGTGCAATTGCATATCTCTGCATATATTAAGAAAGTTATTGCATATTTGCATAAATTTGATGCATGTCATATGATCATATTTCCCAAAATTTTGCTGCATATTTTCCGCTCTCTAGTTATTATACATACACTCTATTACCGACA